CTAGTGAAACATAGGGCTTCAACTACACGTCTCAACTTGCCTCTGTCTTCTACCGTACTTTTCACTTGCATCCATGTTAGTCCATACTGTTTCAGCTCCTCTTCACACGGTCTCCTCCATGTAATCCTTGGACGTCCCACTCGCCGCTTCCCTTTCAGGTTCCACTCGAGGGCCTGACGCGCGATGTCATCCGGCGGCTCCCTAGATAAGCGAATGAAGCAGCTAGTATCCACCAGGGCAATTCACTGATTCAGTCAAATTCTGAATGCATTACAACTAGATATCTGAAGATGGAGCTTGACACTGGTTCTCACATACTACGCTATAAACGGACTGTTAAGACATGCATAATATATCCATTTCTCCATTAGATATTTCTTCACTGAGAATCGTAATCATGTGTTTCCCTTATTAATATATATTTAGGTTGTTTCGTCTACTTCTGAATGTGTTGTAATCTTCATTTGTAAAGATCGATGTGTTCTCGCTGTGCATGTGTATAGAATACACAATCATTAGGATTCACAAACTGATTAGAAAGGTCAACACAACCTACAACAGACATACGCTAATTTATTTTTAAAACTTTTTGATTCCACACCGTATTTCTGGTACAAGTATGCAATATTCAGCATGTGATATCGCTAGCTCTAATTTTCGCAGGCCGACGATTGATATCAGGTGTGCGTCGGCAGGGGATCGAACACCAGACCATATGCATGGTCGGCGACAGTCCTAGTGTTGTCAAAAATAAGTAAAAGGATGTGACTCATGCTTTGCTACAATAATATCATATTACTATAGTATGTAAATTCACTGATAAACCTTCTCGTGATGGCCTATTTACATAGTTATAATTCATATATACGTTTGTGCAGATATGTAAATGAAACCGAGGAAATGAGAATTTTTCTAGCTGAAAACTTTATGTGCACAATATATGATCAGTTATCTCTGTCTTTTATATAAATATGTAACTGCAATATCAGTTCATATTTAGCACATCGGTCATTTGATTCGAAAGGGAACTATGTTAAATACGAATATCAATCATGATAGAATTAGCATGAACACAACAGTCATCAGGTGGCATGTTGCCATTGAAATTCACAGACAAATGGTCAATATGTGACATGCAAATATCTATTGTAGAACGGAAAACACAGACCAGATCTACTGATGCCTTAAATTATACAGACTCGTCCTTCAAAATGAACATTAAATCAATAAATATTCTGTGTGACGTTTAAACATTTCTCACAGAAATCTATTTTTAAGCTGTGGTCCATCGTTTAACGCACCAAGGACAAGTGAAACACAGTGAATAGTAAATTACGTAAACTGAAGATAAGTAGTGGCATCACCAAACAACCAATGCGGAATAAAATGGTCTCATCATTATATATGCACATTGAGTTAATGAATATTCTCAGTGATGCTATATCACTTTTCACACAAATTCCCATCCTTATAAGAATATATATTCTTAGAAAAGTTTTACCAAGTATCATAAACTATGATTTCATATTCTTCTGTTGGTCAGCATAGGGAATCGACCAGAATAGTGAAATTAAATTATGATTGTTTTGTCATCCACAACAATACACGTAGAAATGTGGGTCCACCAAGCTCAGCGTTCTTAAAACACGAATGACACAACACTTTCATTATGTCCACTGTTTTCAGGACAAATCAGTTAAGATAAGATTTAATTTTTACGAGTTTGACCACGGATCAGCAAGAGAACCATTAAAACCCAAGTACGCCCAGGTTTTCAATGGTTCTCTAACTGATAAAAATTCGTGGTCATCCTTACAAACCGAACTCTTCAAAATTTAAATGATGCTCCCCAGTGACTTGGAACAGAACAGTGTTTCTTCGAGTTCTAGTGAGAAGTTGTGACCCTTGAGGTCTATCCAGTAAAGTGTGTGGATACAATTCCCACCGATGAAATTGGTTGGTGGTCGCGCGAAATCCCAAAATAGTAGAAGTTACGACACATGGGATGGCCAAAGAATCGGGAACCAGTGGCTGAATGGTATACGAGTTACCTTTATAACAGGAAGGTCCTAGGTTTGAACCTTGGTGGTGGTTGCGTACTGCCAATGATACACGAAATAAGGTGAAACAGCTGTGCAGTATTCCCCGCAGTTTTGCGATGTTTATCAAACTGATAACAATACGCAGTCAAACTTGTAAAAATAAATTTATCCATCCAAATCAACTCTAGCAAAATAGATTTAATGTCAACACTAACCCTCATGATTCATCAAACTAATATGAATTGCAAATATCAAGTCTAGTAGATAGATGGATAGAGAGATAGACAAATAACTGATATGAGATCCCAGTACAGCTTATCGAAATAATTCCGTCTGCTCATCTAAACTGAATAATACCTACGAAATACAACTCAATAACTATTACTTTTGTCGCTATCTGTCAGATCAAATCAACCTAAATTGAAGCAAAATGACAGAAACTATCTACAGAGAAGAGGAGCGTGGTTGGTTGGTCAGAATTGTAAACAGTATATAGTTTGCGTCATAATAATTCACATGGAAAGAAGTGATCAGACCGAATTATCTGCAAATGTATCCATTACAAGTCCACCCATTACCAAAAACTCACAAGCAAAACAATTATCAAGAGTGGAAGGGTATTCATAAATACCTGGAAGTTAATCTATACATTCACTTCATCAAATAAACACAGCTCGATGAATAATGCTCGTGTTAAACCACCTCTCATTCAGGTGTTCATCTCCACTAAACATCATAATCTGCAATAAATCCATACAATTCGTCCACTAACCATAGTGACCAACTAACATACACGATGAACATAAACATACCAAGTCATTCCTCAGAAATAAAATAACCTCATCAGAAGCACGCTTATGGAAATCTCCATGCACCTGTCACTTATCCTCTACGCTTATATTGGAACTTCGATCCTACAAACAGTCAATATCACTTCGCCACACACTAATTCACCACCATATATAACACTACGCCTTAACCCTATTAAAAACACCATCAGTCACGTCTCACAGAACATAAAATGAATTCACACTGGAAAAACACATTGCATGGTGATCATCGAAGTCACATATGATATCCTATCACTGTAAGCAATAAATTGTGCTCGAAACTCCATCAGTGAATAATACTGTACACACTGTGAGACTATCAAATCACTTTACTCTATGATGAAATTAAACTCTACCGAAATGACCAACTTTCAATCGTTCCCTCAAGTGACACAGTGGAATGCTGAAAGGAAGAATTAACTAATTCCAATTCCACTGTCGATACACATGACACATTTATGACAATGAACAACAAGATTGAAGCAACAAACATCCTACACACCTTCAATGATGCACATTGGCGAGAAAGTGAATGAGAGTATTTCATTCCTAGACGTCACCAGGAAAGAGCACACCACATTCAACAGGAGTGCATACACCAAAACATACAACGATAAATCACTACACTCACTTTCTTGAGTTTCACAACTGTCAAATACTTAAGCAACCTGGTAAACTGTCTGCTTCTCAGTGCTAGCAAAATCTGCAAAAACCACTCTCTCAATCTCAATGACATTGAGATTATCAGAAAATTCCTCACTAAGAATCGTTATGCACATAAGCTCATTGATAAAAATATCTGAATTTAGCATCAATACAAGTCAGTACGGAAACAGCTCCACAGAAGTCTATGCTAATACAACTGCAGTTAAAACATCATTCAATGCACCAAAAGTAGATTGTCCCTTCATCCACTACCATTTCAAGCTCGAAATATAACGAGAATTACGCCTCCTCTGTGTGTGTGTGCTTGTAGCAAAATCATTCTCAATGCTCACGCGGTGCTACTTACATTCGCCAAACAATCACGCACGCTCATCACCATATTTCCCAGCATCACCCCTCAAGGCTAACAAAACGACAAGCAAGCTCCATTCCTAGATCTCTTACAGAACACCTTAAAGATAGTCAGCACTAAGCTAGTGTTAATTCAGCATTTAAAGCTATTTATTGCATTCCCAATATTACTTATTCCCTTCTACGAGTTCCTCTTCTACACAAAGCTGGAGCCATCAGAATCCACCTGAGAAAGCTAAATTTATGAGTGCACAAGAAAATACTTCCAGCAACTCTCATCACAACTATATCTTTTATTAATTTTTTATTTTATTATAGCTTGATTGCACACACTATTGTGGTACAAGCATGGAATTTCCAGTCAATTCCTTATTACTCACTCATAGATTTCTTAACTATTTCCTTTTCTCATTTAAAGGAATACAAACACCCAAGAGATATTCTCCTCACACAGAAAACACCCTATTTACGCCATGCGCGAAACTCAACAGCACCATCAGACGTGATGCATCATTTACTCAGTCGAAATCTCACCTCTCAAACCATGCTCCACAATGCCTCATCCCCAACAAATACAGACACTGTGGAACACATATAATAAATTTTCAATGACTGATTACGAACGACTGACTATCACTGTGTTGCAACCACACCAACTACAAGACATTCACTTATTTCAGATCAGACTCGGTCAACTCTTATCCATCCACGAGACAAAACCTCACTGTCAGTCTCGTAATAATCACTTCACATGACCCAAATCAATTCGCCTGGATAGCCCTATGCAATACAGCAAAATAGAACAAAGCAAACGAAGCAAGGATAGAATTAGCATGTAGGATTCAGGCTGGATTATCATTACTACTACTACCTACTACTACTACTACTACTACAAAAATTCCCTTCCCCTCACTGCCCAATCACAAACGCGCATTGACCAATGACCTAGGCCAACAAAAAATAAAGTTGAATTGACTAATCACTACACAGAAATAAAGATATATCATCAACCAATCAGATGCAGGGTAGTTTTCTACGGTTTAATTGGCTAAATGTGGTTAAAAATAATATATATACTATGGTGCAAGTTTTTTGCTCTGTACACGTTTCTCTGCTCTAACGTACAATCATGAGTGGTCGCGGCAAAGGTGGAAAGTCTCGAGCGAAGGCAAAGACTCGATCTGCTCGTGCTGGTCTTCAGTTCCCAGTTGGTCGTGTGCATCGTCTTCTACGCAAGGGAAATTACGCTGAACGCGTCGGTGCTGGAGCACCCGTCTACCTGGCGGCTGTCCTCGAGTATCTGGCTGCCGAAGTACTCGAATTGGCTGGCAATGCCGCGCGCGACAACAAGAAGACCCGTATCATCCCTCGTCACTTGCAATTGGCCATCCGCAACGATGAGGAGTTGAACAAATTACTCGGTGGTGTTACCATCGCCCAGGGTGGTGTCCTGCCTAACATCCAGGCTGTGTTGCTGCCAAAGAAGACCGACAAGGTGAAGGCCTAAGACCATCGGTGTGTGGCTTGAGAGCCAGAGAACGTGAAACCGGCCCTTTTTAGGGCCACCACATGTTGATCTCAGTATTGTTTATTTGTTTCTTCATTACTCGTTTTTGGTGGTTGAGTTTGTGGAGTGAGGGTTGCGCGAGGTTGTACTAGCGTTGGTTGTAGAAGCGTGGCGAGTTGACAATCACAGTGGTTTTCAGGTACTCAGTTATTGGGTTGGGTGTAGCGATAGTATTGAGTTCTCGGTTGGGGTGGTTCAGATTTATATTTCAACTAGACAGTTTACGAATTATTTTTTAACAATTAAGGCACGGTGAAGATAGCTATGCTGGTTAGGCGTGGTGTGCGGTGAGGTCAGGCATTACCGATTCGATACGCATGGGCTGACGTGATAGTGTGAGAATGGTGTTTTGGAATCTTCGTGGTGCATAGGAAAGAGAAGTGTAGTTTTGAACTGATCTCGAAGTGGAAAGGCCACTCGAACAGTTTGATAATCTAGGTTATAATTCGGTGACTAGTGGAGGGTATTTCGCTCCATGAGGATTTAAAACCTACATTCTCATTTAAACCGTCAACATAGATCCTGGAGATTCGAGCACTGGGGTCAAATACTTAACGCCTAGAAGCTAAAATATTTTGAGTGTCTGATTGAATGATAAGAGATTTGTAATCTTCAGTGACCTATGAAATCTATTAGGCTTCTGTAATTCTAGCACGACATTCTATGAACAGGAGTTAGCGTGAAGTAACGATGTGTAGTAAAGTATAATTGTCTTCCAATAGTTTGCACACAACGATAAGTTTTGTTATTGGTAGTATTTCGAGCAACAAAACAGTTCCAACTGGTGTGAAAACGGAGTAGTTTTGATCGAAATATTACCAATAACTAAACTTATTGTGTAAATTATTGAAATAAATTTGAGCTTCATTTGATCTATTCCACAATGATCAAACACTTTACTGACAGTGACTTTGCAGTAGTCCCTGGTTTTCAGTGCTCTAACTGGTATAAATCTGTGGTCAAACTCGTTCAAACAAACATGAATCTTAGAAACCGAAATCTCGAAAAATATTTACATCCGGTCATAATGTACCAGCTTGTCTAATATGGAAAGTCATCTTCCGTCGACTTTCTCAAGTTCGTATTATGGTAGTTTCTACTTAATGATCATTAGACGAAAACGCATTCAAAGATTAGTAGTAGGATTCTATTGCGCAGACTCAATATTACTATCTGAATTGCTGTTTCCAGTTTGCAATTACTGACTGTTGACAAGGAGAATCCTTAAGCATGAAGGAGGCATTTAACAGTCCAGATATATGGCCAGATATTCCTTTACAGCAATATTCATCAAGTTACACTGACTGTTGTGAGCTAATAAGACGTCAAGTGTTCACAACCGACTAGGGGAAGACAACCTTATTTGGCATATGCAGTAATTTGGTTATTTCACTTATCCAGTGTTTAGATTTTGAGGTATATGTGTGCATTTTCACTACTGACGCGTCCCTGGACAAGATAATAACGAAATATCAAAGTCACACAGGTATGGAAACTGAAGTTACGGCGTGCATTCATTTATATGACGATATAATATATAATCGTTATTAATATCTTATGAATGTTCTCTGTCTAATAAAAGTGGATGTGTGAATGCACACCTCCCATTCAACATAATGAACAACAAATTTTGTTGAATAGATTAAAGGATACATTATATTACACTATTTGTTGAAGTAATGGGACCGATATTTGCTTAACTCAGCTAAGCTGGAGAGTGCTCTCGAATGTACTATGTACATTCGTTAAGCGGCAACGGAAAATTCCTCTTCAAATCATCCTTCCACCTGAATTCGGACAAATGTCGACTGCAAACACAAGGTGAGAAGCTATATCGGGAAATAAAATAAGAATATTTGAAGAATAGTGAAATTGAAAATTAATCATTCGGAAACAATTGGTATACTGCCTGAAAACTAATCCTTTAAGTTCGTTCAACTCTTTTTTTATGTTTCAAGATTTACCTCATATTCATAAATAGTTATTTCATTCAGAGAATCTATCCAGTAGTTAAATCGTTTGAGTTTATCCCAAATGTGGTCGTGAGTGCACAAGAAGAGTCTGGAACAAAGACTCCTCATCTGTCTGGTTCTTCTTGGTTGCCAGTTATTTTCTAACTGATACTGGTTTATGACGGAATCTACACTGAAAGAAAAAAATTCGTAAGAGAAAGACTGTATTTAGAATGTGGAATACCAGCTGTGTTTTCATTGAAAGTCCTCTTCCGTTGACGTTTTCAATTCATTGGGGGTTCATTGGTTTTTCTTTCTCTGAAAGTATACAAACATTTTTAAACATGAAATTAGTGTACACCATTGTATCGGATTAGCCCGGATCTAATAATAGAACCTTGCACATTCTGACATTAGTCATGTTGTGATGTGACAATTCAATGATTAGTAAATTGAACGAATTCATTACTTCAATTTTACCGGGATTGAATACCTAACATTTAAAAGCTAAATTATTTCATTTGTTTCAGTGAAGGATAGGAGATTTATAGTCTTGATTGACCCATGTAATTGATTAAGATAAAACAATAATAATAATTATTATTATTAACATAGAAGGAACCGGACCACTAATATAGTAGAAATAAAAAAATAAGTTATATAAGGATGGATGGAGCTAACTGTTTATTTACTAGATTTTAAAAGTTTAGTTAATTCTTGCATGTCACTATTTTCATCACATAAAATGCGTGACAAGTATGGTATCATAGAATTTTTATACTTAGACGTGCGAGCATACGGTTTTCTGAAGTTAGTTCTTGTTCTACCTAAGGAGATGCAAGGTGAAAGCTGAGGGTGAAGTCAGACAAAATGCATTTATCAAATTTACCGCACGAAGTAAAGTGCCTGTCGACAACGACGTTAACTGTGTGGTCCACTGGGACACCATTCACCCTACTGACAGTCTTCAGCATTCTACGAATTGTGATATAGTCCTTTTTAAGCAAACCAAGAAAGAATAGTGGTGAACAATAAAGAAGAATAGGTAGGATGCAAGAGTTTAAGAACTGTAGGAGGAGGGTTTGAATTATACCCGAGTGCCTAAACTTCTTGATAGAGACACTGTTAAGCGCGAAACCTATGATTTGCTTTGTGTTAACAACAAAATTTTACGCTCTTTTATTTCTCTATTATTTTTTATTCTATTGTGAACTCCTTCTTGAACATACTTAGCCACCTAAATTATTAACATGGGCTTACTTTTTTGTACTTTACTGTATTCCTCCTTTTGTGTATCTACTGGTTCCGACTATTTTGGATCTATGAGTATTACAAAATTGCAAAAATATTCATTCAGACATCTATAAAACACAAAATAATCGAGCAAAGAATATTCTTTTCGATAAATTCCTCTTCCAGGCCCTACAATTATGTATACACAGAATATTCTAGATTAGTAGTCAATAATAATATTAGCGTGTTTTTAAATAATATCGATTTGTAAAGTATGACCAATGCTATTACAGTTCATTAAAGATGCTTAATTATAATAATAATAAAGATATAACAGCGAATAGAATATCAACTAAAATTAAGGAAATTTCACAAAAATTCTGGATTATTCAAACCTGGATGGCCAAGGTAATGATAATGACTGAACTAACTTCTTTTGGGTGCATAAATTAGGCTTGTTAATATGAATCCCCACAGCTTCAGCAATATTTAGAAGTCGAACTCTTAAAGCGAAATTGAGATTCGTAGGTATGCGGTAAATGACCCTGAAAGCATGGTTAATGTCAATCTTGTGTCCTGTATCCACAAGATGAGACAGAATAGCACTACGAATAGATTTTGTTTGACCTTTGCTTAACCAGGCAGGGTGATGCTCGAAAATTCGACGAGAAACACGCCTAATTGTACGGCCTATGTAGCTGGCTCCACAGGAGCATTTAAATTGGTATATACACATGGAAGAGGGGAAATTAGGCAGTTTGTCTTTTATTCCCGAACGCAGAAGAGGAGTGGTTTTAAAGATACAGCGCAATTGAGCAGCAGGGAATGCTCCTTTTACCGCATTTCTGAGGCGATGTGTTAGTATCTCACTTGTATTGTCTCCTATGAACTGCATCTGTAAGTACAAGGCTTTCTTCGGAACCGTTGGTAACTTGGACTGTTTTGTTTTTAGATTCATATTCTTATCATTAAACTTCTCTGGTTAACCAGTCTCACTTAGCAACCGTTTAATATTGTGTAATTCGATTTTGCGATTGTTGTTTTTCTTATGTTCGGCAATCTTGGTTGTGAAAGCCATTATCACCATCTTAACATATTGCTTTGTGCAGAATTATTTTATGATTGTTTAGTGTTGTTTCAACCTATATTAACTGATCAACCTGGCGATAAACATTCTTTAATATAATTTCATGACTACAGCTTTAATGTCACCATGCATCATCATATCATAGCTTCATTTCTACTTCCCGGATAGTTTATTTGCTTATGTTGAGATAATCCTTCTAAAATTAAATGCAAATTTTGTAGATACGTGCTGAAAATTCCTCCCCGACTGTTTCTGGAATAAAGCAAACTGTTTATTATTACAATGCTTTTGTCAAAAAAAACACCACCCTCGCACTAACGCATTAGCAGGAAACAAGTCTTGCACATGCGTACCTTACTCCACACCTAACCTGCTGACAATTTAATTCGTTATCCGTTTTGTTGATGTATATTCCGTCATAAACCAGTATCAGTTAGAAAATAACTGGCTACCAAGAAGAACCAGACAGATGAGGATTCTTTGTTCCGGACTCTTCTTGTGCACTCACGACCACATTTGGGATCAACTCTAATTCATTAACGATTTAACTACTGGAAAGATTCTCTGAATGATATCGGTTCATCTTAGAGCTCTCTATATTTACTTCACCACTGTCTAAATGGGTCAATGGAAATACATTAGTTCAATCAAAACTATTGAACAGCATGTCATCTTCATATAAATGCAATAACTATTTATGAATAAGAGGTGGCACAGTGGTTAGGACTCTCGCCGACCATGCACATGG